CATCGGCAGGCGGACTCTCAACCACTGTGCCACCAGGGAAGCCCTGTGTTTCTGCTTTTAATGGTCCACTAATACCTTTAGCTTGGGCCTTTACAATTATTAGAGGGCTTTTCTTCTCCTTCCAAGGCTTGAATTTATGATCTACACATTTCATGGGAGTCTGCAATGCACAGGAATATCTTACGTCATTCATTAAGAAAGAAATAAGGTTAAAAAGCACTAGTCTAGCTAACAGGAAGAAATAAGAGGCATTGGAACCCACAAATGAATAAAATAATAATAAATGCTAAGTCTCCTAATATGTATTCTGTGCTGTGCACCAAGTGTTTTATATTATGATCTCATTTAATCCTTTTGCCAACCATATAAGGTAAGTACTGTTATTTTCTCCATCCTCAGATGAGGAAACAGCGATTTAGAAAGGTTAAGAATTTATATTTGCTCGAGGTCACCACCAGTAGGTGATGCACCCAGGACTGGGGCCCAGCTGGTTGAACTCCTGAATCCACACTCGAATTAGCTATTGCCATTTCAGGGCTCCAGATGCCCTGTTGACAAGCTGGGTTGGAAAGTTACCATTTACTCCTAAATTGAGGCGAGCCTGCCGTGGATCTCCGGGAAAGATGTTTTGCCCAGGAGGCTTAATCAGAGAAGCCAATGAGATCCACATGGCAGCTTAGGAGACTATCGGGCACAAAGTCTACCTTCTGGGAGCAGCCAGCTAACCAGAGCTCTGGGAGGGAGGGAGGGAAAGAACAGAGAAGGAGGCAGAGAAACTCTGAAGGATGCGGTGTGTGGAGAGAGAGAGTTCAAAGTCGTTCCCAAGTCTCTCGGGTAAATGCTCCCAAAGGCCAGGGACTCAGTAGCCAAGGCAGCGCCTCCCTGTCACCACCCCTCCCGCTTTTGGCCTCGCCAAACTGACCTGATTCCCCACTCCCCTGGGATCCCTGGGAGCTGTGCAACACTGCCCTTTTGAAGAGAAGCGAATCAGGTTGCCTTGGTTACTGGGAAGGTTGGAACGCCAAGCTCAGGTGCACATAAGGAGAGACGAGGCTAGAATAAGTGGGAGTTGGAACGTGGCCGGCATGCTGCTGCAGAACTCTCTGGATGCAGGAAGCCTCAGTTAGGTTTTGGCAGCATTTGCAGGGGGTGCCAACTTCACTGCAGTCAGCTGTCTGTGCCGAGTGTCTCCAGCCACGTCTGCCTCCAGGCTATGGGGATCTGCCCCTGGCTCAGCGAGGAGCCCTGGATAAGAGAAACCCACTCCTCTTGGAGAAATGGCCTGGGTAGCATCTCCTAGTGCTTCCACTTGGACAGGGCTGAGGGCTGGATCGGGGCTGAGTCTGGGTGAAAAATGCATGCCGTGCCTCTCCCAGCACGGAGGGGCCAGTGGGCCACACACCTTTAGGTGGAACAGGTAGAGGCTCTAGTTACTGCTACTGACAAGCTACTCGGCTGCCCTGAATCCCTGTTTCAGAGTGAGATAAAAGAAGAGAACACTCAGAAACTGGATACAGTGGCGTTTTGTTATTTAACCTTCACCAGCGGGCCATTAAGCCTTCAGCTCCTGAGCAGAAAAGCTCCTGCCAAAATAAAGGGGGGGCGTTCACTGTTGTTGTGTGGGGGGAACGTAGAACATTCTGTAAAGATGCTAGACAGGGGAGAGGGAGTGGAGTAGAGAGAGCAGGGAGGAGGGAAGAAAAGGACAAGTGCAGTGGGTTACCTCCACCCCCATTGCCTCTTCAGTGCTTCTACCCATGACATCTCACCATTGGAGAGAAATGGGATCTTTCAGTTTCAAATGTCTGCCAAAGAAAAAGGACCGAGGCTTAAGTTCTCGTTCAATGGTCGGCCAGAAAAAAAAAAAAAATGAAGCCGCATCAAGATTAGGGACACCTTTGTTGGCTTTTTTCTTCCCCTGCTCCATTCATCACTCTTTGGCAGCCAGGACACCAGGCCGACGGCAGCTGCTGACTTTCCCCAGCCGGCTGCCTGCTGTTGCCGGGCTTGGTTTGGTGGCAGCCAGGCTGTCCCCACGCTGGCTTCCTCCCCGCCCAGTGGCGGTTACTTGTTTGATTTGTCTCTGGGATGCCCTTAGGATCCACTGACTGATACCTGACTTGGAAGGATGAAGCATCAAGATCCAGGCATCAGGTGTCTACTAGGATGAGATGACCCTGGGACAGCCTTCCAATCCTGCATCTGCCGTGGCTTTTCTTGGATAGTTAGGGCTCTCTGAGCATGGCGTTGTGTAGTCCAGGAATTTCTAAAGTTTTAATGTTAAGCGAAAAAAGAAGCAAAACCCAAAATTGGTACATGAAAAATATAAATACATGTGGACAAATTAAGGGGTTTTAAAAAATGTTTCTCTAGAATGGAAGGGCTATACACGAATTGTTTTCTCAAACAAAATTTTGGCACATTATTAGTATATTCACAATATACAGAAAACTGCAGAGAAACGTCTGCTAAATGGAACACAGCATTTACAGACCTTGGAAAGATAAATAAGAAGGGCAAGGTAGGTATAAGAAAAGACAAAAGACACAAAGAAGTCTGGAATTCAATTATGAGTATTACTGCCATTATATATTACACACATAATCACGTTTTATCTTTCCTCTGAGTTTGGACTTATAAGAGCCATGAGAAAACAATGTTTGGAGAGAGGGAGAAAGCTTCACTATGTTCAAATTTGCTTCTGACACAGTCATTAGGATTTTCAGTTAAGTTTAGATGGACTGAATTATTTCATTTTTTTGTTCATTTACTGCCCAACCCTTCACACTTCCTAAATGTATATTTATCCTAGTTTAAGAATCCCTTTCAAATAATGCATCTAATCAATCCTAATCTTTCTGGTTCTACTCCTTAAAAACAGTAATCCCCTGACCCCAAAAATTTTAATAAAAAATGACCATGTGATCTCTCTTTTCCATTACATATAACACCTATCCTTTAGGTAAGATTGATGCCCAAAGCAGATGATCTAACACTCTGTTTTGAGGTCCAGCCCTTGGGTTTCTAAAACACCATTTGAAGGAGTTATCTGCAGTTTACATATGATTTCAATATCACAGCTAAAAATAGCAGCTCCAAAGCACATGTTCTACTGACTAATTTGGTGGGGCATAGTATGAATGACCTTTGGATACAACAGGGTGGTATCAGGATCATTCATTAATTTCAAAACGTATTTACTGAGGCCGTTCCAAGCTCAAGGAGTTTACAGTCTGTCGGGGTGAAGAGACAAGTAAATATGCAATTATAACACAGTGTGATAGTGGTTATAATAGAGGCATGAACTTACTTAACCTGGAGAATTAGGGAAGGCTTCCTGGGAGAGGTGGCACTCAAGCCCAGTCTTTTTTTTTTTTTTTAATAAATTTATTTATTTATTTTTATTTGTTTATTTTTGGCTGCACTGGGTCTCCGTTGTTATGCGCGGGCTTTCTCTAGTTGCGCCAAGCAGGGGCTACTCTTTTTTGCAGTGCACCGGCTTCTCATTGCGGTGTCTTTTCTTGTTGCGGAGCACGGGCTCTAGAGTGCAGGCTCAGTAGTTGTGGCGCATGGACTTAGCTGCTCCGCGGCATGCGGGATCTTCCAGGACCAGGGCTCGAACCCGTGTCCCCTGCACTGGCAGGCACATTCTTAACCACTGTGCCACCAGGGAAGCCCTCAAGCCCAGTCTTGAAGGGTAAGCAGGACTTAGCCAAATTAATGAATGTTCAGGGAAAGGAAGCATCAGGTGCAAAGGCAAGGCAGCATGAGAGTGCATGAACCCTTCGGGAAGCTGCAAGTTGATCATCTGACTAGCATAAAATGCTTGTCAGAATAGCAGAAGATGACGCTTTGTCTTCTCCCTGCTCGCCAATAACCCATACTTCTCTTGCTGAAGTCTGTGTCTTCAAAACATTTGTAATAATATATTGTAATCTCTGTGAATCCAGATTGCAACCAATTCCAATCACTCGATTTGCAGGAAATGCACTCAGTTTCCATGTCACATAGGTCATGATTTCCACTGGTTGAGATGCAACGAGCAGGATGCCATGTGGACTATAATGTCCCAGAGCTGCAACAAAGGCTCTGAACATATCCACATTTCTCTGTACCACGTCGAGGTAGGACTGAGAACTACCCAGAGAGTTGACTGTGAAGATCACCACCTTTGCTGAAATTGCTAATGTGCAGGCAATTCCCAGTTCTCCACCGCCAACCACGGTAATTTTATTGACTGTTTTATTCTCATGTTTTGCCCAGTTCTTTGAATGTATACCTGAGGCACCTTCGGTGATTTTTGCAATATAGGCTAGCAAGTCTGCCTGCTGTGCCGCATCAGATGATGATAGAGAATACAGGGGAAGTTCTTGAAACTTGGCAATCATTTCTTTAATTAATCCGACAATGACAGATTTAGTCCTGATACATCACAGGAATAGTGCCAGTGAAATTCAGCAGGTTTTTCTGGGAACTATCTTTGAAAACATAGGTATCCATGGAATATCTGAAATGTGGGAAAAACATATTTACATTCTTCAGTTCTTCCATAGTTAGATCCCTGAACTTGTACTTGCCAAGCAGTCGCCTCACACCCTCACTGTTGAGCTCCATCTCCAGCCAGGACCACGAGTCGGGTTCTAGTCCAGGAATTTCTTACACGTGCATTTGTATCACTAACAGTGACAGCCATAACTGGCCTCTGGTGATCACAATGCTAATAGTTATATTTAGTCATCTTTTCGCATGGGCCAACCACAGTTTGTTGCTCATGGTATTTTTGTGGCATTTTGCAGATGAGGAAACTGAGGTTAAGAGCAGCCAAGTGACAAACTCAAGGTCATAGAGGTAGAAAGGGGCTGAGTTGGAATCTGAATCTAGGTCCGTCTGATTTCAAAGCCTTACTCTTTGCACCACTGCAGTCTTTTTCAGTGAATTTGGAGAGAGGAAGGGAAGAGGGGAAGGGAGCAAAGGAAAAGGGACCTTTGTAACTACAGAGAAATAAACAACACATCTATCAGCATATATACCTTGCTCACTGTGGAGGAAAATGTTTGTGTGGTTCCAGCCAAACTTTGGTTTGACATACCACACTGTTCCCTGCAGTAGATAAGGCCTTCATAACGATCTCCAGAGGACACCAAGTCCCGTCTCTGTCATTTACATATAGTAAGTCACCTTGAACAAGTCCCTTCTCTACTGTGTAAAACACAGGTAAGCATAGGACCTACCTACCCCAAAGGGTTGTGGGGAGATGAAAGGACCTCAGATATGGTGGGTCTTACCAAGTGCCTGGTACACACCAGGCTTTCAGATGGGAGCTGTGACTAGTTAGGCCAGTTTACCCTTCTTTGCCTTGGTAGAGAAACGAGAACCATTGTCCCTTCCTTGCCAACTCAGGTTTTTTCCTGCTGAAGCAGGGCTCACCTGAGCCGCCTTGACATCAGAGTTTGCAAACCACCTTGGGGCACTCATTGTGTAAATAAAGCAATAAATTCTTTTCCCCCTAGTCTTATCAGAGGCAAGCCCTTGTTTGGAATTTCTGAAGTAAAGTGACTCTTGCCAGGGAGCTGGCACCAGGGCAGTGTGTGAAGCAGGGATAATGAGTTGCAGTGGTCATGGCTGAGTGAAAATGGCTGCTGTGGGAACTGGAGGTCTCTGGAATTCATTGGTAACTGCTCTGGTATCCTGGGGCTTCACTCGTGCTTCCCTGTGCCCTGTTGGAGAGCTGTTTGAGAACCTGCTGATTTTAGCGTGGAGGTGATGCAGAAGGGCATTGGTGTTTATCGTGTCCCACCCAGCCAGGGGTTGGCCATTCATTCAGCAGGTATTTATTGAGTGCCTACTGGGCTTCAGGCTCCGTTGCCCTAACCAAGGATGAGAGCAAAGTCCCTGCTACAGTGGGGTGTACCCTTGGGCAAGGGAGATGGGCAAACAGTTAAACAGATAAATTACATTCTGACTGGGGGCTTGGTATTTGCTAGAATTCTTTGACCCTTGGGGCATCATTGTGTAAATAAAGCAATAAATTCTTTTCCCCCTAGTCTTATCAGAGGCAAGCCCTTGTTTGGAATTTCTGAAGTAAAGTGACTCTTGCCAGGGAGCTGGCACCAGGGCAGTGTGTGAAGCAGGGATAATGAGTTGCAGTGGTCATGGCTGAGTGAAAATGGCTGCTGTGGGAACTGGAGGTCTCTGGAATTCATTGGTAACTGCTCTGGTATCCTGGGGCTTCACTCGTGCTTCCCTGTGCCCTGTTGGAGAGCTGTTTGAGAACCTGCTGATTTTAGCGTGGAGGTGATGCAGAAGGGCATTGGTGTTTATCGTGTCCCACCCAGCCAGGGGTTGGCCATTCATTCAGCAGGTATTTATTGAGTGCCTACTGGGCTTCAGGCTCCGTTGCCCTAACCAAGGATGAGAGCAAAGTCCCTGCTACAGTGGGGTGTACCCTTGGGCAAGGGAGATGGGCAAACAGTTAAACAGATAAATTACATTCTGACTGGGGGCTTGGTATTTGCTAGAATTCTTTGACCCATCTTACGAAGCTGGAGGGATGGCCCTGTCTAGGACACCTGTTGGTAGTTGCTGTGTGAACTTGGGCTTTGGATCTGAGAGACCTTTGCGCCTTCCCTAGGGTGTTACCCAGAGCCCGTTAGGATGAGCTGGGCACCGGGTTAAGTGCTGGGAATGCAAGGGTGACATAAGACAGTCTCCAACTCATATCATTTACTACAAATTAGTGAGAGACAGTCATCAAACTGTGCAAATAGAAATGCCAGGCTCTCTGAACCTTGGTTTATTTCCTCTCCTGTTTCATCTGGACTCAACTTAGAAATATTTATTGACTGCCCGTAAACGAATAGAGTGTCTGTAATATGCCAGGCATTGTTCCAGCACTGGGGATTTGGCAGTGATTAAGCCATCAAAAATCCTGTCCTCATGGAGCTTACATTCTAGAGCAGTGATTCTCAAACTTGGGGAAGCGTCAGAATCACGTGGAGGATTTGTTAAGCCCGGTCCCACCCCCTCACTCCCACCCACACACCCAGGTTGCGGCTGTAGGGCTGCCGTGGGGCTTGGAAGTTGGTGTTTCCAGCGCATATAATGCTGCTGCTTTGTGCCCTGTCGCTTTGCAGACCGCTAACAGTTGATTTATTGAATCCTCGCAATAACCTGGGAGGATTGGGGGTTAGGGTGGGGTAGGGGAGTCGGGGGGAGCCCTCTCATCGCTGTTTTACAGACAGGGAACTGAAGAAGGCAGGTGAGGTAACTTGGCCCTCCCTCTCTTGCTAAGCAAGCTACAGGAAGTGACTTTAGGAGCAAGCACTGTTTAACTGCCTCACCATGACCGCTATGAGCAATTTCGTTCTCGTTCTTTTGCTGACCCAGAGCCTGACTGGTGGCAAAATCCAGTCGGGTTTGCTCCCGCATTGTAAAATAAAGGATGGGGAAGCAGGAGGTCTGAGCAGATCCCAGAAGCCAGAAGGAACTTCTCTTTACATTAGAATGTGTGGAGTTATGTATCCATGGTCACAGAGAGGAACAGAGGGCACGGGATCTTCCCTGTTTCTCCCTGATGCTGAGCCAGGAGACCTGTGCCGAGTCCGCTCTTCAGAGGAGGGGGTGCTGGGCTCCTTCACCCCTAACCCAGGCTTACTTCGAGTCTAGGAAGTGCAGGTGAGATGTGACGAAGAGGCAAGGCCCTCCTCTCTGAATCCTCACAACAGCCCTCTAGGGGGGCCTTGTTCCCCTTGACCATGACTTGGATTGTATGTCCTCAGCCTTGTCACTGGCTGGTTCTCTGACCTTGTTTAAGCTACTTAAAGCCTTCTGAGCCCCAGTTTCTTCACTGGCAAAATGGGAATGAATTAGAAGCTGCCTTGTAAAAGCCACAGTGAAATTCCAGGTCTCTCATTATATTGAAGTTCCACTGTCTGGACAGTTCTGACGACAGAGATTAAGGCCTCCTTGATAGCTTCATCTATAGTTCTGCAGTTTCTGCTCCGTTCATATATTTTGAGCACCAGAATTTTTTTGGACATAAACCTCTTTCTTCTCATTTCTCTGGAAAAATGGATCATACTTAAGCAGATACACATCTTCCCAGACAACAAAGACTTTTGCTAGACGGGACTACTAAGCGGTATCTTAATAGCTCAAAAAATTTCAAACCAGCCTGAGTGGTTTACTTCCACTGCTGATATAAAACAAATATTTGCTGGCCGCAGATGGAGGACCCTGGGTGTTTCTTCAGCCTCCTAACTGGTCACCAGGCCTGAGTGGTTCTCAAAATGTGGTCCCAAACCAGGACATCAGCTTCACCTGGGAAGTTGTTAGACCTGCAGACTCTCCTGTCCCACCTCAGACCTACTAATCAGACACTCTGGTGGGTGGAGCCTTGAGAGCTGTCTTTTAAGGAGCATCCCAGGTGACTCTGCTGCCCCCTCAAGTCTGGGAACTACTGGCCAAATGTTTGCAGCTAGAATGACATATTCTGTGAGTGGTCGCAGGCAAAAACTGGCCAGGTTTAAAGAGCCTTCCAAGCACAGGTCGATGCAGCCCGTTGAAATGGTCTTCACTGGCTTGAGAACATTTTATGATCAGTCCCCAAACCCTTATTGTCCAAGCGGGACCTCCGCACTTCCTTCACCAGGCCTCACCATCATTTAACATCTTTGCATCAAGATTCAGCTCACAAATGTAGTATAAAAAGGCCTTCCCCCATCTCCCTCGCCTGGGCTCCATGACACCTTATGCTGTAGTAGGACAGCGTGACTACCCGCATCCTCTCCATTCTTGTTAATAGGCAGCTCAGTGGCTGGCACACAGTAGGACTGCACCAAGCCAGGAGATGGCTGCTCCCCAGTTGGGAGTCTTGGATTCTGTTTGTGGCCCTTCCTCATAGCAGCAAGTCCCTTGGCCTTCCTGAGCCCTAGTCTTCATTGCTCTATGACGGGGGAATAATGACCCTTGGTCTCCTTTCCACAATGGAGTGAGTATAGGAGTCTGTGTCTGGATCTCGGGGACAACAGGATCAGTCAGTGATTCTCAAGTTCAGTTGCACATCGGACTCAGCAGAGGGGGAGTGCTAAAAATACCCATGCCCGCCCCACTCCCAGAGAATCTGGTTTCATTGGTCTGGGGTATGGTCTGGGCATGGGATTTCTAGAATCTCCCCAGTTGACTCTGGAATACAGCCACATTGGAGAACCACGACTGTAGGTAAATACATCCCTTCCTCAAAATGTTTGTAGAGTTTGAATGAGACTATGCTAAAGTCCCTTGTAAAGCGCTTTAAAATTTAAGAGTTACACAGTTCCACGTGGAAAACTGAAGATGATTCAGGATGTATTAAAAAATAGCTATGGTGGTGGGGAGAAGGAGGTATTTGAGGGATGTCAGGCGCCTTGCAGTTTGGTAATTTCCCCTCTTCTAGATCTATCTTGCTATTTCTTTCCTGATGTGTTAAGTATCAAATTGATTTGGGCTCATCTTTGCCTTAATGTGAAAATCTTTCAACTCGCATTGCAGGAGTAATGCTTTTAAATAAATTGGTCTAAGCTACTTTGGAGCTGTAGGCCTAGGGGGTGGGCAGCTGCTGTCTGTCCCCAGCAGAT